GTATATGTGTATGTCTGATTCCAAGAACAACAGAAATTGGAAATGAAAGTGACTGGCCGCTGTGAGCTACCAAAAGGGTACTGAGAGCCTAACTTTGTCTCAGGAAGAGAAGAAAGCATTCCTAACCGCTGGGCTATCTCTTCAGTAATGGCCCCCAACCCTGATTATTTATTTGAGACTGGGTCTTACATTGCAGCTCTGGCCATCTTAGAAGTTGCTGTAGAGCAAGCTGGCCTTGAATATGGAGATATACCCCTATCTTTGCCTCCCAAGTCCTGGGATTAAATATATGTACCCAAACATCTGTTTTTTCCTTTTTCATTTCTTTCTTTATTGGTTTGTTTAATAAGACTAAGAACCCAGAAGAGGGAACTTCAATCACTCAAGTAACAATTTACACTGAGGATAACTAAAGGGTTAGTGGAGCCGGGACCACACAAAGCCTGGACTTACACTGAAGGATAAATGTAAAGAACTGTGAAGGGACAGGTAGGTGAGAAGTGTCTGTTAGGTGGTACTTCCTCGACAGGGTTGGAGGTGAACGGGAAGATGTTCTGACTGGTGGCTGCAGGACTGAAGTTTCTAGAACCTTCCTAATGTTGTGACCCTTTTATACAGCTCCTCATTTTGTGGTGACCCCCAACCATTAAATTGTTTTTGTTGTTACTTCATAACTATAATCTTGCTGTGGTCATGAACTGTAGTGTAAATGTCTGATATGCAAGATACTTGATATGTGACCCCAAAGGGGTTGCGACCCACTAATTGAGAACCACTATTCTAGAATGTAAGCATTCTGGGCTATATGAAGACCTGCCTGTTTGTACTGGAGGTTTGGCTAAGCTGGCCTTGTTTGCCCAGTCCCTATGGAGAAAAGAAAGGTCAATCATACAGGTGTAGCAGCCTACTTGTGCCTCACCTCCTCAGCCTTACAGAGAGAAGGGATGGTCACCTGTTCCTTTGGAAGGGTCCTCAGAAGAATTCCCTCCTTGGGCGTGTACCCTTGAGAGTTAGGCTCGGAGCTGACTTCTCAGAGCAAGCCTCTCTGTTTATTCACTCAACTTTCTGGCAAGTACTCGTTGAAACAGTACTGGAGCAAAATTCATACACAAATGGGCAATTAAATCATAATCACGATAACATTATTTTTGACTACTTAGCATTTGCTTGAAAACATTTGACTAAACTCTTATTATTTATTTATATATTTGAGACAGGGTCTCTCTACATAGCTGTCCTGGAACTCCGTATGTGCACCAGGCAGACCTCAAAGTCAGAGATTTGCCTACTTCTGCCTTTACAATGCTGGGATTAAAGGTGTGCTACCACCAAGGGTGTCCCTGATCTGTCAAGACTTAGGCAAGACTGCCGTCTTAACAGATCAAGAAAGGATAATGTTGAGAACTAAAAACAGCTGAGTGTGTGTGATGGCTAAAGTTAGGTTTTAAATTTAAGTTACTGTGCTTAGGAAATCTATAAAACAGGCTGGAGACATGGCTCGGTGGTTAAGAGCACGGTTCGTTCTTCCAGAGTTCCTGAGTTCATTTCCCTGCAACTACATGGTGGCTTCTTACAAGCATCTATACTGGGATCTGATGCCCTCTTCTGGCATGCAGATGTATATGCAGATAGAGCACACATACATAATATAAATAAATACATATCAAACAAGGTTGGTTGTAGCCAATTGCACAGGACATGCATGATCATATGTAGGCAGGAGGTACTTAGTCACGAAGTATAGCAGGGTGCATGCTGGCCCTTTCTGGGTGAAGGCAGGAAGCATGTGGTGTATGCTGGCCCTTTCTGGGTGAAGGCAGGAAGGATGTGGTGTATTCTGGGCCCTGACTGGGTGAAGACAGGAAGCTTGTGGCCTTGTGCTCTTACCGTTATAAGCCTCTGACTAATGTAATGTTGTGCTGTACTCTAGGAGTCCACGTATGTATGTTTCCTAACACAGATCTTGACAGGCTGATGCTAGGTTTAAGACCTTCCCTGTTGCTACCTGTAGCACTGGAGATTTTTCCTGCCTTTTAATTCTTTAACTGGAAGAGAAACTAAAGCTTGTTTCCCATTTGGCTCCAAAATTGTGGTAATGGTCTATTCTCACTGGGGGGCATCAACATGTGTTGGTGCTCAGGAGAATGAAGTATGAGAATCAAGAGCCTGCGGCCAGCCAGGAACAGAGTGAGGTCTGTCATTTTCATTGAAGGACAAAGAAGGAAATGGACTTGGATACATGTTTTGAAGTCAAATGTCAAAATAAAGCCAAGTGTGGTGGCACTCATCTCGGTCCCAGCATTTAAGGCATTGGTTGGCAGATCTGTCAGTTAAGAGCCAGCGTAGTTGACACAGAGTTCTGGGCTAGGCAGGGCTATAAAGTGAAGACCTGTCCCAAAAAATAAAGACATTCCCACCCTGACACACACACACATGAGATTTTCAAATAATAATACAGATACTCACATGCACACATAGAAAAACAAGAAAAGCACAGAATTTGAAGAGTTACACCTCAAAAATATATGTATGCACACTCCTTTATTCCTAGCACCCTGGAGGCAGAGGCAGGCCAATCTCTGAGTTCAACCTGGCTTACAAAGTGAGTTCCAGGACAGCCAGAGCTAGAGAAATCCCATCATGAAAAACAAAAGAAACAAACAAAAGTATGTAACAGGGTTGCTGAGATGGCTCAGTGCTGAAGAGAACCTGCTCTCATAATCCTCATTAGAGAGGCTTTACCTAGCACATGATAGAAACAGATGCTGAGACCCACAGCCAAAACATTAGGTAGAGCTTGAAGAATGTTACGGAAGAGGGCAGAGTAGAGGGGACAATGAAGGACTGTAGGAGCCAGAGACACCACCAAAAAAAAAAAAAAAAAAAAAACTGTTCACAGAATCAACTGACCAGGGCTCATATGGACTCACAGAGAGTCTGGGTCAGACATAGGTCCTCTGCATGCATGTTATATTTGTGTAGCTTGGTGTTCTTGTGGGACTCCTAACAGTGAGAATGAAGGTGTCTCCGACTCTTTTCCCTGCTTTTGGGATCCTTTTCCTCCTGAGTTGCCTCATCCAGCCTTGATATGAAGGGAGGTACCTAGTCTTATAGTAACTTGTTATGCCATGTTTGGTTTATATCCCTGGGAGACCTGCTCTTTTCTGAAGGGAAACAGAGGAGGAGTGGATCTGGGGGAGGGGGAAGGGAGGAGAGAGGAACTAAGAGGAGGGAGGAGAAACTTCAGTGTGGATCTAATATATGAGAGAAGAATAATCCACTCCCACCCCCCGCAAAAAAAAAAAAAAACAAAAAAACCCCAAAAACCTGCTCTCTTGCAGAGGACCTCGGCTCTAGCACACACACACAGCACCTCACAGGCTTATGTAACTCCATTTCCAGGGAATCCAATGACTTACTTCCTTAGGTACCACACATGCACTCAGTACTCACTCATGAACACAGGTAAACACACAAAACATTTGGGCTGCACTGCAACATGAGACCTTGAGGAGCACCACAGAGCTGTTGTCCATCAAAACTAGTAAAAATCAGGGCTGGAGAGATACTCATATACAAAAATAATGAATTTAACAAAACAAAACCTATGGAAACTCAGGAGCACAGCAGAAAACCTCTGAAGAGTCCCGAAAGGTTACAGAGAGGAAAAACACATTTATTCAGGGCACTGTAACACTCAATAAAAGAGAAGTCATGCCTCATTATTAAACCACGGCCACTCTGTTCCTCCAGCATCCGAACTCCGCAACATGGAAAGCCCGCTCCATGCCACTGCAGTCAAAACCAGAGCTCCCTCTCACTTAGCTCCCTGGCATCAACACCTTGGGAACAGAAAGATGACAACAGTCCTTATCATGCCTCAATATACCAACTCGAGGAGGAAGTTTCAATGGCTGTGTCTCTCACAAAGACTACTCTCAAAACTCCTTTGTAAGGTCAGGTTCAGTCACAGGGCTGATGGTTTGCCAATGGCTGAAGCTACTCCCTACAATCTCTGCACTCAGACACCTGTGGGGTGTGCTGCTGTTTCTCCACAGAGCTACTGCTAAGTTGTTCAGAGCCTATCCCAGAATCCAAAGGTCCATGATGCACCCTAGCCCAGTGAGCACTCCACTTCTATGTACTAGAGGCGTGGATGAATGATGCTACATTTGTTTCGAAGCATTCAACACTTTGGTCCCCCTCTGATTTCAGGTGTTTATTTAGACGGCCAAGGGACGTTTTACATCACTGCTCTCCTTAGACATTTATCTAGCATGAACCTTCCTGTGTTTATACAGGCTGGAGCTACTGCAGTACACTTTGTCACACTCTCTGCATGCATATTGCTTTGCTACGACATGCACTTTCATGTGTCTAACAAAGTTGTAACTTGAATTAAAGACCCTTCCACACTCACTGCACTTAAAAGGTTTGCCATGAATTGTTAGATGTTCAATGAGCTCAGAGTTTTGGGTAAAATACTTCCCACATTCACTGCAGCAGAAAGGCTTTTCTGCAGTATGACTGTAGAAATGATTCAAAAGGCCTTCTCTGCTCCTGTATGATTTCCCACATTTGCTGCACTCAAAGGGCATCTCTCCAGTGTGAAACCGATAATGAACTTTAAGGCCTTCTCTGCTCCTGTATGATTTCCCACATTCACTGCACTTAAAAGGCATTTCTCCTGTGTGTAGTCCCTGATGAGAAATAAGGGAGATATTATGCTTGAAAGCTTTGCCACATTCACTACACCTATAGGGCTTTTCTCCAGTGTGCATTCTGAAATGCTTAATGAGAAAGGCTTTTTGGCTGAAGGATTTCCCACATTCACTGCACTGAAAAGGCTTTTCTCCGGTGTGTATCTTCCAGTGCCTATTAAGGTGAGATATACTAGTAAAGATTTTGCCGCAGTAAGTGCATTTGCAGTTCCTCTTTTCACTGTGCACAGCCTCTCCACTCTCGGTGCTCTTGGGTGGCTCCCCCACAGTGTAAGTCACCTGATGCCTGAGAAGACCTGAGGGGGTCTGGAGGATCGTCACATTGTCTGTGCTTAGTAAGGGGGTCTCAGCACAGCTCAGCATCTGCTGTTGGAGCCTGGATGAAGTAAGATCTCCTTCTGCAGACCGACTGTGCTCCAAAGGGGACGGCTCACCCTCCACTTTGATCCAACAACCTGAGCAGAGAGAAATACTGATGTAGACTGTCATGACAGAGAGCACACATTACCAACAGTGATCTTATTTCTCACACAAGAAGGGGGCTTGTTCATGGAGGGAAGGGTCCATCGCCATGATGAATTTGTCAAGTTCATAGGTTCTAGAAACCTTAGGGGCAGCAAGAACACAAGAAAGCAGTGAATCATAGGGAGGAGTGCTAGGAACCATAACCCTGCCCTCAGCAAATGGCTTTCTGCAAGCCTCAGCTGCTGGAGATGCAGGACACAGAGCAGAAGGCTGTCAAGCCCATAAGACACAGCACCTGAAGACTCCCCGTTCCAGGACCGTCCTGGGTATAGTGCACACTAACACAATAAAGGACGACCTGTGTTTCACAGTGTTGCACGGGAACAGGCCAACATACCTGTCCATAAACACGGAGTCAGGAATCTCAGTGCAGGCACAGAGAGATCTCCACAAGACTCCACCTCAGTTACGTCACGGATACCAGAGAGTTGAAGTCCTAAAATAAAATACGAGGAGTAAGAGTACCATACAACGACTGAGTGATCTTCCACCTCATAATAATCCAGGGTAAAGAAGTCTAATGAGAACAATCCTCATAAGTGTCTTGCAAGAAAAACACCAAATAATGAACCCACCAGTGGTAAAATTCCTGCCACATGCAGACACAAGGCATGTCACCAAAGACAGAACAAATACTTGGGTCACAGAAATGTTGTGTATTTGCAGTGTCACCAGCTCAGGGAGAGGTGATCACTATTGAGAATTCTGATGCCTTAGTAGTGCAAGTCATTTATCCAAGCATGTGGAAAGCATAGGCAGGAGGATCTTTGTGAGTTTCAGCCATCTTAGGCAATACAATGAGTTCCTGGTGACCTTGCCTCAGCTCAGCTTGCAAACAAATATCATCCCCTCAAACTGATTGATTTGCCTTTACTGTACTTAAGAGTGAAAACGTAGTTGTGAACCAAGCCTGTATCTATAACCTGCATTTTCAAATACAGAACAGTGGGGGAAAGACTACTCAGTTCATAGGTCAGCTTTGAGATGAATGCATCTCCCTGTAGAAAAAAAAAACAAGTCCATACAGACATGCTCTGAAAGGATGGGGGAGGTCCTTACTGAGTGAGGACACGAGTGTGAAGGCCTCCGTCATCACAGTCTGGTACAGGAGCCTTTGAGAGTCATCAAGTAGTGTCCATTCCTCCCAGGAGAAGTACACAGCCACATCCTCAAAGGACACACAGCCCTGCACAATGGGGGAAAGTTGAGTTTATATGAAGCCTGCCTGTCAGGGACTCTTGCCATCCCCAAGACAGTCGCTCCCACTTAGCTTCCTACCTCAGAGGGTACCAGGTTCTGAAGCTATTGACACCCAGTCTGTCTTCAAGGTCCCACCAACCACTCTGTTCAGCACTCAGCAAAAGCAGGCAAGTGGACATGGTGGCTTAGTTACTTCACTATGACTGTGAAGAGACACCATGACCAAGGCACCTTATAGAACAAAGAGCTTATTGGGGCTTATACTTCAGAGGGTGAGTCCATGCCCCTCATGGCAGCAGGTGTGCATGGCACTGGAGCAGTAGCTGAGAACTTACAACCTGATACACAGGTACCAGGCAGAAAGAAAGCTAACTGGGAATGGTCAGGGCTTTTGAAACCTACAAGCCCACCCCCATTGACACACCTCCTTCAAAAAGGCCATACTGTGAACCTACGGTGACGGGGGGGGGGCATGTTCACTGAAGCCACCACAGCTGCAGTCAATCCAAGCTGGAAGGATGCCATGCAATGTACCTTCTTTCTATCAGAGAATTCACATGGGCCTCTCCCAATCATCTGACTCACACAGACCATTTTGGGGTCACTGTTGTCCACTATGTCCATGGCACAAACGCCAGGAAGCCATCGGCACACACATCGGTCTTCTCACTGAGCCTCCATTTCCATCTCAGCATGCAGGCCCAGCCTTCAGCTACTGTGCTCCCCCAACTCCTGCCTTGCACTAAAGCCAGCAGTCCATGTACACCTGAGGGTTTCTCAGCATTCCCAACCCACCTCACTTCCAGGCATCCTCTCCTGTCATCACTGGAACTTTAAGTCCTCTGAATCTTAAGCCACTAGTTGATATAAATGGAAACCCGGCCATGGAATCCCTGCTGTGGATGTGGGGACCTTTCATTCTCAGCGCATGCCAGGGAAATTCAATGGAAGGACAGAGAGAATCCCAAGCAAAGAGTCCCAGGACACCATAATCTCAGAGGTCACTTATGTGAAAACTGAGGAGTGTGATTCCTGGGCATCCCCACTTACCTCTTCCTGGTTGGCAGGTTTCATTGAATACTGGGAAACCTGTAGAAAAACAAGGCTGTGAGCAACAAGCAAGGGTGTTGGTGTCTCAAAGGTTCATCCAAGTCCCCTCTCATACATGCAGTCAGGTACACCCAACTGAACCCTGGGCTCTGTCCCTTCCTGGATGCTCTTAGGCAAAAATATCAATCTCCTCAGTTTGTTATCTGAGGTTAAGAATGGCAGCCTGTCTTATTTACTATTCCATTGCTGTGAAGGGACCCCTGACCAAGGCAGCCCTTATAAAAGCATGTAAGTGGGCTGCTTATAGTTTCGTAGGGTTGGTCCATTGTTATCATGGAGGGAAGCAGGCAGGTGCGGTGCAGGCGCAGCATCGGGGACTTTACATCCTGATAGAGATGTGGGGGTTGTGGGGTGGGGTATAAGCAGACAGGCACTGGCCTCGGCTAATTCTCTCACACTTCCTCCAAGAAGGCCACACCTCCTAATCTTTCTCAAACAGTACCACTCCCTGGTGACTAAGCATTCTAACACATGAGCCTATGGGAGTCATTCTCATTCAAACTATCCCACACAGTCCTAGCTCAAAAAGATTACTGTATCAAACCCAGCACAGGCTTTTCCTGTGCACATGACCAATGCTCATCTCATGAGTTTCACAAACACACAAGTGTTTCATAATGTATTTATCTACATTCTAACATACATTTAGTTAAATATTAACATACATTCATTGAAAAGAGGAAGCTTGTGGTGGTCCTCCCCCTTAATCCTACAGAGAAAGCCTGTCTCAAAAAACCAAAAAGGATGCAGGGCAATGGGCACACCTTGAATCCCAGCATTCTGGAGGTAGAGGCAGGTGGCTCTCTGAGTGTGAGGTCATTTTTGGTCTACAGAGTGAGTTCCAGGACAGCCACGGCTACACAGTGAAACCTTGTCTCAAAAAAAACAAGAACAAAACAATTTGACAGGCATGGTTGTGTACCCCTTTAATTGTAACACTTGGAAGGCAAAGGAACGCAGACCTCTGTGAGACTGAGACCACAGAGAGCAACATAGGCCAGCCATAGTCACATGGTGATTTTAAGGGGAAAAATAGTGATAGCTAACACAGTAGATTTTACTTAAATGCTGAATGTCTCCGCAAATAAACAAATAGATAAATAAATAAAGGACTCCTTTAAATCAGAGAGGCCCGAAGTGGGAACATATATACATATCCCCCTCCCCAGAGACAGTTTTTCTGGAATTAAAAATGTGAAAAGTGTGGGCCACACCTTTAATCCAATCACTCTGGAGGATCTTTGAGAGTTTGAGGCCAGCCTGATCTACATATCTGGGTCCAGGACCGCCAGTACTACTGTTTCAAAATTAAATAATGAATGAATGAATGAAAATTCAGATATATGGAGACCAGTCTCTGCCTCTATGGTCTACAGCCCCAACTCCTGCATTAGTCCACGGGATTTACCCAAGGATTCATAGATGTCTGTCTCCATCCACATCACTTTATCCCTGCTCAATAGCCCCAGGAATGCTTGGGAAAACTGAATGCTCGAACCTCTCCTCTGTTCAAATCTTCCATGGCCAGCACCGTCTCCAAAGACAAAACTCAGCTTCTTAGGAGCACTGAGCCCTTTCCCCCATCTAAGGCCAGCAGGGGTCACTCCAGGGCTGCCATCTCTGAGCTCCGGCCCGCCCACAAGCCTGGGGAGGTACAATCCACCAGACGCTGTGAGTCAGAAAGGATCATTCTCTAGCACACAGATGTCAAAACCATAATCTCGTCCACCGATGTCCTACACCCGGGGACACGAGGGCCTGCCCTGCTGGCTCCCGATCCAGATCTCAGCGCTCTAGAACTCAGGGAGGTGGGCGATCAGGAGTCACTCACCTGGGGCAGGGCTCCACCCGCAGCCTCCACAATCACCATGGGGCTCCACAGCATGGTGGGGCCCTGGGACGTAGCCATCCCTGCTCGAAGCCTGGATCAGACCCCTCAGGTCGTCGCAAACGTCAGATCCGTTTCCCTGATGGAGGACAAACGCTTCTAACTCTCCCGTTTTCCTTCCATGGACAACGCAGATGAAACGAGTTTTCTGTGAACCATACTGACGGGTCCAGGAAGTTACAAAGAAGCTCCTTCAACCAAAGCCCAAAGTCCCGCCCAACGGTTTCTTGCAGTCAAAGAAATGCCCGTTTTCATTGGCTAAGGTCCTTGCAATGTTTTCTGGGCAATGTAGTTTAGACAGGATCAAACGTCTGCTATCTGGACACAACTGCCCAGATGGAGGAAAATCAGTGTCCGTGAAGACTACCGTAATTATAGACCCGCCACTATTTTCTACCTGAAGTGAGTTGGGTGTGGACTAGAAATAGTAGAGGCTGAGCTACAAGACCGAGCGTGCTGGAACTTTTTAAATGACAGAACTGCACGCAGAGGCAGGTAGCTCTGTATTTTAGAAGCCAGCCTGTGAGAGTGTGTTCCAGGCCAGGCAGGGCTACATAGTGAGACCTTAGGATTTTATTTAATCTCTAGAAATGCATGAAACGGGCAAAGTTGGCTTTTGCTTTTGAGATGTTTGTGTTGTGTGAAATTGTACTTGCCAGGTCCCTGAGCCAATAAAATAAATTGTTACCATGGAATAGGAAAAAACGGATACACTTGGATTGGAATAAAAAAATTCCTTCATCAGGGATTCTAGATGCAGATGCTTCTCATTTTTTTACACACCAGTATGGAGTCCTCAACAATAACATTTCTACTATGCTTCCCCGTGCTGAGGGAAAATTGGGGCTGGACAACGTAATTCAGCTCAGGAAACCTTTGCTGTGGCAATGAGGATGCTCTTCAGAAGGAAAGACCTGGGCAGCTGCTGCTCTGGGAAATGGGAACACTGGCGAGTCTGTAACCACGACAGTGGCTGCAGGAGTCTTGTTAACTTTTTGCACACCGCTTCTTCACTTTGCACTTCTGCAGCTGTCCAGGTTTCTGAGCCGGGTCTCTGTGGTGCATGCTGTCTGAACTACATTGCCCAGAGGAGACTGAGTATAAAGACAGGTTAGCCAGGCATGGTAATCCACACCTTTAATTCCAATACTTGAGAGGTAGTGGCAGGAGTTTAGGACTAACTTGCTCTACAGAGAGAGTTCCAAGACAGCCAGTGCAGCACAAGAAACCCTTTCACTAAAAGAAAACGAAGAAGGCAGGAAGGTGGAAGAGGAGATCTGACATCTAGACAGGTCTGAAATCTGCTCTGCCACAGTGAGACTAATTCTAAGCCTTAGAGGTAGGAATGTTCATATGCTTCTCTGGGCAGCCCAGTCGGCTGGACTGCAAATTCTGTGTGAGGTGATACCTCATGTCTAACCTACCTGATGTTACAGCACCTAGAGTCTGGGTCATGAACCCTCGCATAAGGCTGATGTCCCTGATAGTGACCCAGTCACAGATGGTTCCATTTTTATTTTTACTCTTTTAAAGATTGTATTTAGATTCTGTGCAGATTTTGTTCCTGTAAACATTACTAAGACAGTCCAGACTTTCCACAGGAAATTTGTCTATGAATACATAGCAAGCACCAGCTCCACAAAGTAGCACAGTGCAAGGACAAGGAATCTTTGTATGTCCAAGGAAAGTGGTCTTAAGACAGAACAAACTGTGTGTGTGTGTGGGGGGGGCAGATCAAGCCTGCTTTCTGCATCTAGTGCTGTTACCTGCTGAGCCACCTCTCCAGTTTCTCTTTGGTTTTGTTTGTTTTCTTAGCAACTAAGTTAAGCCATGCCATATCTGTGACCATCTCCTGGAATTTATTCATTGGAGCTTGTTAGGCTCAACAGTCGGTAGACAACCAAAAGCAGTAACTCCCTTTCTCCCAAAAATCTACCCATAACCAATGGTTCTCTGATGAAAAACATATTACCTAAAAAACTCCCCAATTCTTTCCTACTCATGAGCCCATTCTTATGCAAAGACCATACAGACAACAGGAGATGGTGTGACTTTGCTATCAGGATCACTGTGTCTTATTGCAGGATATTTAATCCTATTGTGAACTCCAAAATTGTGAACTATAAAACCATGTTTATTGTTTGGTTTGGGTGAGCTCTAACACACACCTGTAATCTAAGAACTTTCTATTTATTGTAAACAAGTAATTGTGTTGTGCTTCACCCAGCCCTAGAATACCTTTACTCTAAGAGCTCTCTGTATACTGAATCTAATAAAGGTCACCCTAAAATCTCGAGAGGTGGAGCAAGAAACCAGTTGACACAGATTAAAGAGTAGGGGGACTTTATGCTGAGTTGAGCTGTTATTTAAGACAGCGGGTAGAAGAAGCAGGGTTTTTAGCTCAAGCTCTGGCTTTAGCTTAGGCTTCAGCTCCTCAACTCCCTGGCTTTGGGGACCTTGAACTAGAAAGCCTTGGGCGTTGGGTTCTTTGGCCTTTTGCTCCTGGGATGGCAGTTATTCTAGTGAGCCTTTTTTGTTGTTGTTGTTGTTGTTGTTGTTTTTCATACAGCCTTGAGCTGAGAAGGAAGGTCAGCTGGATGCTTTCTCTACCTCTCTGAGATAGTAAGTTTTCACCCCTGCATCTGGCTCCCGAGTCCTTATTGGTAAAATAGAAGGGTTGGAATTTTCATCACTGTTCATAACAATAGTGTCTTGCTCAGAAGATGACATTTCCCAGGCCTTGCAATCTTCTAGCTCTTTCATTCTGTCTCCTCTTCTTTGGTGTCCCTTAGCTTTCCAGGGAATAGAATAAATGCCTGTCTAGGGCTGAGCATCCAACTGTAACTTATAATCAGTACCTTAAGCAAACAAGAGCCTCTTCATCTCTTCATTTGCTTGCATTCACTCCATAGAGGGGCTTCTCTGATTAAGACGGAGAGTAACGGTAATGCCAGGTTCACGGGACCCTCAGAGACCACCAGGGGATGACTCAATGCAAGAGCAAAAGAGCTTTATTATGAGAGCGATTGAACTCGGGACCCAAGTCTCACTGATACAGTAGTAGAGAAGTTGCAACCCGAGCTCTGAGTGAGCAGGGTTTTTAAAGGGAAAGCCTGCAAGCAGGGGGTTTCCATGACAGCAAGCAGGGGACACATGTTTCCATGACAGCAAACAAGGTTTTGGTGGGGGGGGGGGCACATGCCTTGACGTTACAGGATTAGGTAAAAGTTAGAGGGGCAAGTTTACCTTCTCTGAGACACATAATCACAATTGCTAAGGCATATAATCACAATGACTAGGGCATATAATCACAATGGCTATTCTTCTGAACTATATCTGAAACATTGGGAAGAATTTTCCTACCCGATTCCCAACTGATTCTCATTGATTATTGCCAGGGAGATTGTCTCTATTTTCTATAAAGTATTTATTCTGTGATATTTCTTGGAGGCTGTTGCTAGGAGAGTTAACTTTGTTTTCTTCCAATTGTGATATTTCCTGGTACCTGAATTCAGCTCCCAGTCAATATGGCTCTTTATTTAAAAAATGAAGTTAGACCCAGGCTAACTTAAACTCTTCATAACATTTGTCTATAAATATCGACATGTATTTAGTAGCCGGTTCTCTTTTCTGTCTGTTAGCTAGACAACAGAATTAAGTTCTGGTCTGAGGCCTGTGACGTCCCCAACCATGACTTTTTACTGTGTTAACAATGCTAGACATGGCTTCCCTCCTTGGCAGTGTGTATCAAATCCCACCAAAGAGTTGTTGATTACTCCAAGTCATGCTAGTGCTGCACAAGTGTGCACATCTTGCCTGTTGGAAGCAATGTGTCATTAAAGAAAAATCCCGGTGCGGAGCATGAAATACCTGCTTAGGAGTTGTTCAGCTGGGAACCCCCTGAGGTAGCCAAAACATTACAAGTTTCTGCCACCCCTCTTGGATGCTCTCCAGAGCTAGAGACTAAGATAGTATTGTTGAAGTCAGCACACACCCTTAATTGCATGATATTCTTTAGGCTGTTTGTTTGTTTGTTTGTTGTTTTTGTTTGTTTTGTTTTTTGAGACACAGTTTTTCTGTGTAGCCCTGGCTATCTTGGAACTAACTTGGTAAACCAGGCTGGCCCTGAACTCAGGAGTGCTGGAGTTAAAGTCATGGGCCAACACCACCCAGACCAGCTGTTTGTTTTTGAGACAGGGTATTTTTCTGTAACCCTGGCTGGCCTTGAACACACGATGTAGACCAGGTTGGCCTCAAATTCAGAGATCTGCCTGGCTTTTCTGGAATTAAACGCATGTACCACCCCTTCCACTGAAGTCGTTTTTTTAAAGATTAATCTGTGTGTGTTTTTATGTGCATGCATCTGGGTGTGTCCCTGGTTCCACTGCAATGTTTTCTTCATCATCATGGACCCCCTGCCCTGAAACTTAAACCAGATAGTGTAAACGGAAGCTCTCTATGTTGCACATATTAAATATTATGTCCCAAAGATGAGAAAGATAACTAATAGAGTCCTCACAGCTCTCAGTCCTCCTTTAGAACTGTGCCTATTCTATCCCTCCTCCCCCAGTTTTTCTTCTTCTTCTTCTTCTTCTTCTTCTTCTTCTTCTTCTTCTTCTT